TTTGTTATAACTGGAATCTTAAACATAAAGCTGAATGCGAGGACATTCAGTTTAATGAAGAAAATACCTTAGAAGCTTTCATTGAGCAAGTAAATGAACATAACAGTTTAGACGAAATAGAGCCTATCGAACCTATACAATTCATCGCTTGTAATAACTCTGAATCTGACAGTGATTGACTGTAGTTTTACATTTTACTTTCATCTCTTTCTTAATAAACTCAAAATCAAATTAAAAGTTTTTTATTCTGTAGGCTGCATAATAATATTGTCTATGTCCAGTATAGTGGACGTCTTGCGGCTGAGATGACGATGATGAAGTACAAAATCATAAACACCCAAAAATTTGGGTGTTTATGGGGTTTAAACCCAATAAACCCAAAACACCCGGTTTTTACCCACCAGACTTTAAACCCACCCAGGTGGATTGCCCATCTCTACATGCGTGGCGGTCTTACTTCAAATCCATAAACAAAGAGATAATTACAGAACTCGATACTAGATGGCGCTGTTTTTGTTTGAAGAAAGTTTGCGGGCTAAAATACATAGAATTTCATCAATGACTTCCACAAAGAACAACATTTCTGTTTTTTCTAAGTCCGTATCTCTTCCGTATATTTCATAAGATATAAGCTTGGGCTACATTGTTATGCAACGTGATTTTGTCGCTGTCTTGCTAGCAGGGTTGACAGATATACGATTTAAATCGTACTCATACTATTATTTGTCTATTTTTTAATGTACGATCGTAAAGATTATGATCGTAATTCGCACAAAAACATACGACTTTTTGGTTACCTGGCAACATTTTTATTATGAAACGAACATGCTCACATCATCAGTCACATGCAACAATTTATTGGGGATTTCCCCTTCACATCTGGCAGTCCTGCTTGCTAGAATATAGGTAAGTCAGCCACAGTTACTGACGATCGATATTTAAAGGGTATTGTTTTTGTGCTAAATATTTCATAAAAACGTTATTTAATACTTTGTGGATTATTAATTTAGTTGATAATCACTGGAAGTAAAATGGATGCTAATTTGAGAGATCAAGATCTTCGTATAAAACAGTTAATAAAAGAAAATCTACGTAAGTACTCTTTTTATACCTAGGTAGGTAAGGTATAATAAACACAAAAGGTACTTAGATCGCGTGTGTTCGAAGCATTTATTCTAATAAATTTAATTTAAAATTGTAGAAAGAAAAAAATGTCTGCCAAGCCGTAGCCGAAGCCGATCTCCAAATATATTTGGCGATAGTGAGACCCAGTGTCCAGATGATTTACCCAGCGTCGTCGCAACAAAGAAAAAAACGAGGATAAAGTAAAAGAAAATTTACTGAAAGAAGAAACAAACTGTTCTAAATGCTTAATTTATGGAGAAGAGGATAAAAGAAATGAGTATTTCGGACTGTTAGTGGCTCAAGAATTTAAATATATACGGCCATGTGTGCGAACGAGGTGTTATGAAGAAATTTTAAAGTATCTACGGGAAGCAAAAGGCCAACATGTTGATCAACTGCAACATGAAAACACTGAAAATTAATTACTTTCATTTTATTATATATAGATTTTTAAAATTTCCTGAAATATTATTAGTTAACGTTTTATTTAATATTGTAGAATTGATCAATACAATTTATAAAAATAATTTATTGGTATTACTTACATATTTTCAAAAAAATACGTAAAAACCTATTTTTTGGGTGATTATGGGAGTTTATGGGTGTTTATTGGGTTTTTACCAAAGCACCGGGTTTAAACCCGGTGCTTTGCCCATCTATACCTGCCGACTTTTACTAAAATAAACACAAAGAACTCTTCATCAACTCCGTCAGGTGAACAACATGCTCCTATAGATGAAGTTAATAAACTTTTGTTAAATCGTATAAACCTACGTCTCGTTAATTGGGATCTTTATTCTGAAACTGTTAATCAATTACTTTTGGATTTCGAGTATGATGTCAATGAACCCTTAAACAATTACAATAGGTTCTGTAAAATTATTTTGACAGCTGTGGAACGTTCCGTTCCACGTAGGAACTTATCAAATAGCGGTGCAAATACTTCAAAGAGGCACAAACATATTGCAGTACCTTGGTGGAATAACAGGTGTGCGACAGCTGTCAATGATAGTAAAGCGGCTTACCTTAGGTTTAAACAAAATCCAACTCTCGATAATTACATAAATTTTAAAAGAGTTCAAGCTGTTAAAAAGTTAGTAATTAAGCAAGTAAGACAACAGGGGTGGCAGGAATTTTGTTCCAAATTTAATAGATTAACACCAATTTCCACTGTTTGGCAAAATATGAGAAAACTAAATTCAAAACATCGTCAAAATCATTTTAAAGATATATCATGGGTCAATGATTTTTTACGCAAATATACTCCTGATTTTGTACACTCACCTTTTGATGATAAACAGTTTAATTCTGTTAATTCATGCCCAAAATTTCTCACTGACCCATTCTCAATTGATGAAATATCCAGTGCAGTAAAATCTAGAAAAGATACAGCTAGTGGCCTTGATCGCTTAACATACAATATGTTTCGATTGCTGAATAAAATAAACCTTACTAAACTCTTACAAATTTTTAACGATTTATGGAAGGACTGTATTATCCCACCAGAATGGAAAATGGATTGTTTGATTCCAGTAATTAAACCCGGTAAAGATCCTACAAATTTCGACTCCTATAGACCTATAACATTGACGTCCTGTGCAGGCAAATTATTCGAACAATTAATTAAACAGCGTTTAGAGTTCTTTATTGAAAGTAATAGTATATTACCATCGAATCAATTTGGTTTTCGCCGTGGATATTCAGCGCGCGAAAGTTTAGCGAACTTCTATGTCGACCTTAGTACTGCTTTGAATAACGATGAATATGTTCTATCTGTTTTTTTAGATGTCGTAGGAGCTTTTAACAATGTAAATTTAACAGTTCTATCTTCGATTTTATCCTCATTTCTTCCAATGAAACTTATCGAATGGATTTATAATTTTCTTAGTAATAGAGAAGTGTATGTTAAAGTAAATAGTAAATTAATAGGACCTAGGTTAAGCTCTAAAGGAGTATGTCAAGGTGGTATTCTAAGCCCGCTACTATATATTTTATATATCTATAAACTTAATTCAATTTTAGGAAACAGTGTGAACAACTTGCAATTTGCCGATGATTTATTAATTTATATAAAAGGAAAGAATATTATTGATATGCAATTAGTGTTAAATGAGTCATTAAAAAGACTTGAGAAATATTTTTCTCTTCTTTCCCTCGATATTAGTTTAACCAAAAGTAAAGTAGTTGTTTTTCATCAAGTTCATAAATATGTTCCATTAATGAATATTATATATAATAATCAAACTCTTCCAACAGACTGTAGCGTTAAATTTCTGGGGGTAATTTTTCATCAAAATTTAAAATGGGATCTATACGTTGATTGCTTAGTAGATCGTGCTTTAAGAGCCACTAATATAATAAGATCTGTAATTGGTCGTAACTGGGGAACTGATCCTAAAATTATCCTTTTACTTTACAAATCTCTTGTTAGAAGTAATTTTGATTACGCTTTCTTTTGTTATGCCTCAGAACATAAATTAGTAGAAAAACTCGAAAAAATTCAAAATATGAATTTAAGACTTATTTTAGGTGCTATGTATACTTCTCCAATTATCTCAATGCAAGTAGAATGTAATTTGCCTCCTATCCTTCTTCGTTTCGAATACCTAAAACTCAAATTTCTCTTCAAAGTTTTTTCAGTTTCCAATAACCCACTCATACTCAAATTATTAAATTGCCCCATTTCTATGTTTTTGAATAAAACTATTGTCAATGATTTGAATTTACGAGATGAATATAACATCTATAGTAGTAAGATACTTCCTTGTTATAATGGCCTTTATGAGAGTAAGTTCTGTAAGATCAAAATTGTTATACGTAAAGACATAAAAGAAAAGCACGATATGTATGAGACTTTATCAGAATTTATTGACTACAGGCAGATATATACAGATGGTTCCAAAAATGCACTTAGCACTTCAGTGGCTTTTTACGATTTGTCAAATAGATTTGGTCACGGTTATAAAATTTCAACTTTGGCTAGTATTTACACAGCAGAAGCAAAAGCTATATTTTTAGCATTAGAATACATAGAAAAACAGGTACTATATTCGAAATGGATTATAATTACAGATAGTATGAGTGTTCTTATGGCATTAAAAAATAACACATTCATTTCATCATCAAACTACTTAATTCAAGAAATTCGTAATAAATATTATCATCTCTGTACTATATATGGAAAAGATATTATCTTCATCTGGACCCCTTCACATATTGGAGTGTTTGGGAATGAACAAGTAGACACTTTGGCTAAAATTATTAATTCAAGTGCTGCTCGTGTTCAAGATTTACCCCTTTGTTATTCAGATTGTAGTATTGGAATACATAAAATCGTTACAACTAAATGGGAGGAGCATTGGACTCAAATATTACAGACTAAAGGCAAATGGTACCGCAAAATTAATTGGCGTATTGGAAAACCGTGGTTCTGCAAAGGAAAGGACACAAACAGAAAATTTTACACCAATATTTGTAGATTACGAATCGGCCACGGACATTTCAACGAACACCTGCACCGAATGGGCATGATCGCTTCCCCATCATGCACATGGTGTAACTCAAATACAGCCCAATCTCTACATCACCTTTTTTTTGATTGCTCTGAATTTGTCATTCAAAGACACATTATGTTTGACGAACTTAGGATTATCTTCAAAAAACCCGAAAATATCCCGCACTCAATCCCGCTTCTCTTAAGATTTCCTTCTTGTTTCAAAGCTATTTTCACTTATATTACTACAACATTCAAGGAGCTATAAGAATACTTTTATTGAATTGCAAGACAATGATTTTTTATAATTATTTATTTTTAATTTGATAAATCCACTGGTTTAAGAAAACTCAAGAAAAGATATTTATGAAAATGTACTTACCGGATTTGACAAATGAAATATTGAAGATTATGACAATAATTGAAGCGACATTAGAAAAATAAAATTCCAGACAATTTATCTTTTTGAAGACTAGGCAGCATGGTCTCCGACCTTAGCCTGTTCCAAACGGAACAAACGTACTAAAAAAAAAAAAAAAAAGTAGAAAGGTATGTACCATGCAAGTTAAACTATGTATACGTGTATTTTCCGTAGATTTCAGGGGTGTATGTTGCTATTTTATATCTCTGTCGAGCTAGCTACTGTTTCTACTTTTTGTGATTGGGGCTTTTTGAGATTAATTTTGGGGTTATTTGGAATATTATTTCAAATAGCCCCATCTAACGATTCTTTATGCATTAGTACGGGTTTGAGTGATGGTTTCAAATAGCCCCAAAAGTGCAAAAAAAGATATTTAAGGGTAAGTCAGTTCCCAGTCATCAAATTAAATTCGGCAAAATACCTAATCTAAAAAATGGGACTAATATTCCCAGGCGAATTTATATAATGTCTTTAGGTGTGAGCAGGCTAGCATATAAGTCAGTGCCGACATTGAATAATTTAAAGTTGCGCCGTTATTTTCACGACTTTATATAAAAAATAAATAATAAAAAAATATTAAAAAATAAAATATAATAATAAAATGAAAAAATAAAATCAAATTACCTATTAAAAATATATTAAAAAAATTTATAAAATAGTATATAAAATATTTTTTAATATAATTTATTATTTAAAATAATTTATATTATATAAAATAATTTTATTCTTTCCACACAGGGAAAATCAAGAAAAAATCATGGTGCGAACATATCAAAGGAAATATACCAACTCACGTTGCGGTAAAACACATCCACCATATCTAAGTTATTCTAAAGAAAGTCTAGAAAACGCAATAAAAGCCATTTAAAATGGTTTAATGAAATTAAAAGAGGCTTCCAAAAATTACAATATTCCAATGAGCACTTTGAGTAGGAAATCTAGAAACAAAAATTGCACGCAAGAAAAAGCTGGGCACCCAACTCTATTTTCAATAGAGGAAGAGAAGACTTTTGTAGAATATATACAATTACTGAGCCCTTGGGGATTTCCTTTGGATACAACTGACTTACGAGTTTTGGTACTCTACTGTGATGATAAAAACAGTAAATATTTTATTTATTTATTTATTTAACTCTTTATTGCACCATAAATAAAAATATACAATGACAAGTTACATTGGATATACAAATATTACATTGGATTTATCGAAAATATTAAATTTGATGGACAAAAATATAATTACAGTGTTAATTTTTACAAAACTATTAAAAAGCCACAGCTTGCGTTTTGGATTAGCAAGAAAATTTATCGCGATGAAGTTGATGACATATGGATTGTGAAAAAAATTATTATGAATAATAATCCTATGAAGAAAAACGAGTTTCTTCTCGCTGAAGAAAGCGATATGGTGTATTTTTGAGATACTTTAAGCCACTTTATTTTTCCAGAATTTGTTTTTATGTTAAGCAAAATTTATAATCTTTTGTTACATTTTATAGCATTTATGTAGCTTTAACTAGGTATGTACCTAGTAGTTACTATTATGTTTCTTTTCATAATGAAGATTATAAAATAATTTGATTAAAAATATATTAAGTATTTTTATTTATACCTATACCTATTACAGAATTAATTATATCTATTAGCTATCACGTAAAAATTGAAAACAGCCTCCCCTTAAGAATTCCAAATATTGCTTTACTTATAATAGGCACATCTTATTACATTTACTTCTAATTCCAAATAACCCCATTTTATTTAAAATAATAATTTTGTTTTCATGACTAACTTCATATAATTCACTATTTTCTTAACCGATAAGAATCAAATTGCGATAAACTTCAAGGCAGTCTATTCTAGAATAGTTCCAAATGTCTCTCTAACGGTTTTATTAAGCACAGTTTTATAAAATGTCAAAAATTGTTTAGCTTCTACATAGGATACCAAATAGCCCCAAAGTAGCAATATTTGGAATAGCATACTTAAAAACATATATCTTCAAAACTACGCATGATAGACTTATTGTAGTGGTAGTCATTAAAAAGGTATTATAGGAACTGGTCAAAAAACCCCCTGTCGAGTAAATTAATGCATTGCTCTTTTATTAAATACATGATTTTGCAAAAAAATAAACCAAATAGCCCCGTTCTACGGTATTTTTTTTTTATTGGTGAATACGCCATGGTTACCCCGCCTGCGCTATCGGTATACACTAGCGGGGTACTAGTGAGCGGTGATAGGTGAGGATGAAAAGGCAGGTCAGTTAGCCCATCGTGACGAATTCAATGTTAAATTGGTCACGATAGTTTCCAGGGGGAACCGCGTGGAGGTCGACCTGATAGGGTATATTGATAGCAATGGGGATTAAACTCCTCATTATTAACAATCCCTTCCCCTAGGAATTTTGGGTAGGTTTGGGTAGATTTGAATTAAATTTTTATATTACTATTACTAATAAATAAGACAAGTATTTTGTAAATAGAATGGACAGGATAAGCTAATAGGTACTTTACCAGAGGGAGATTTTGTACAAAAGTAGATTGCTTGGGTACCTCTGTCCCATTTGTGTTTCAATCGTGAAGCAGTTGTGTTTGCATGGCTGTGTTTCGGTTTGAAGGGTGGGATATGGCGTGAATTTACAGGGTACAGAGGAATAACACCTGAGTCCTCAGGAATGGCAACGCATGGGGGGGTATCATGGGCGAAACAGTATACTCTATTATATCCATGGTACTGCTCATGTCTATAGGTGACGGTTACCACTTTCCATCAGGTGGGCCGTCAGCTTGTTTGCCATTCTAAGTTGTATAAAAAAAAAGATACTTAAAAAGAACGACTAGCTATTTTGTAATTCGAGCAAATGTGTGAAATAAGGTGTCGTAATATAAATATACTTATTTATGGCGGGAAATCTTTGTTTTATGTAAATCGCCTGTCTCACGGATTGAGACGCAAAGATTACGCGAGAGGCGCGACTGATACCTACCTCCACCTGTCCCTTGGTTGGGTTTGACAGGTTTTTTATTGGATCCCTGCTTTCCTATTCAATAAGTTTCGGGTTTGCATTACGCAGTTAACTGGGCCGTGAAATGTTTCGCCCAAGTCTAATGCCATGTGTGATCATGCCTCCACTCAATTATAAGTATATTTAGGGCTTCTAGTTTTTTTGTTGTGACGTGAAATTCTATATTAGCCGGGGGAAAGGGATTGTTAGTAATGGAGACTGAGAATGCCATTGCTAGCAATATACCCAACCAGGTCGACCTCCTCGAGGTTCTATCTGGAAACTATCATGATTAATTCTTGATGAATTCATCATGATGGCCTAACTGACCTGTTTTTATTCTCATCTATCACCCTTCACTGGTGCTCCGCCAGCGTATCCCGTTAGCGCAGGCGGGGTCACCATACCATTTTCACTCATAAAAAAAATTCTATATTAGCAATAGTTTAAAATTTTTATTAGTGACTTTGTTTTTGTGTTACCACTTGATGTCTTAATGGCTTAACCAATTGTCATAAAATTTGGTGTAAATACAGTATTTTTTTTAATGGATGATAATGAAATGATAGCTTCGTCTGCGTGAACGGTACACGCTGGCGAGTCACCAGTGAGTAATGGTAGATGAGAATGAAAAAGGCAGGCCAGTTAGCCCATCGTGATGAATACATTTGGAATTCACGATTGGATCGTGCTGAATTAAATAATTAATTCATTAGTTAATTCATTATGGGCTAGCTGACCTGCCCTTTCATTCGCAGATGTCATCCCCGACTGGTGCCCTGGCAGCGTATACTGTTAGCGTAGGCGGGGTTATCATTGCATTATCATCTATTAAAAAAAAAAAAAATAACATTCTGTTCTCCTTTAATTAAAGATTGTCTATAGGAGATAAGATAGATCGCTAGAGATAAGGCCGTCTTTTGTACCTTTATGTATATTTTTTGGTTTGTACTTTAGGCCATTGTCTTTCACTTTCATAATAACTCTTTACACTAAGATAAACTTTCCACTTCAAGGAAAATTTTATCACAAGAATAAATTATCAGATATTTAATAAGTACTGTTACTATATTTTATTTACGCAGTAAAGTATACGTTAAAAATAAACATGGTTTTAATAATTATTGTAGTCTTCCAGAGAGACACTTTGTACAAAAGTCGATTGCTTGGGTACCTCTGTCCCATTAGTGTTTCAACCGTGAAGCAGTTGTGTTTGCATGGCTGTGTTTCGGTTTGAAGGGTGGGATATGGCGTGAATTTACTGGGTACGGAGGAATAACACCTGAGTCCTCAGGAATGGCAACGCATGGGGGGTATCATGGGCGAAACAGTATACTCTGTTATGTCCATGGTACTGCTCATGTCTATAGGCGACGGTTACTACTTTCCATCAGGTGGGCCGTCAGCTTGTTTGCCATTCTAAGTTGTTTAAAAAAAATACAAAATATGAAGTGCAGTGAAAGTACATTGTTTATAATGAAATAAAGCAATAAGCGCTTAAGTTTATTAAACTCCTTGAGCTCTGAATAATGTTATCTTGAGTGCTGTTTATATTATCAAATAAACTTATATCTGTGACATTAAATTTGCTCTTCTTTGATGAATTTTATTCGACTTTCTATTCTGATGAATCATAATTTATGCATGTAATATGTACAGCTCACTGTCGACAGGGAGTTCACCCTCATACCCTACAGCCTAAATGGTCGCGTACAGCGCGATTTCAGAGATGATTTCTCTCACGAACACTCTGGTCATGGAATGAGCTCCTTGCCGAGGTTTCCACATGACACTACAAAATGGGGTTTTTCAAAAGGGGGGTAAAGAGGTTTCTTCAGGGTCGGCAACGCGCGCGTAATGCGTGGGACACTCACACAGTTTTGCGACACTAAAAAAATGTTCTATAGATATATTTTTATTACATCTTTTCAAAGTACTTTCCACCAGCCTCTATACAAAGTTTCATGCGTCTGAATCAGTTTTCGAAACACTTTTTTCAGGTCGCCGCAGACACCTCGTTTACAGCCTGCTCGAACGCTGAGAGCGCATCATCTGGTGACGAAAATTGTATCCCTTTGAGCTGATTTTTTGCGGTGTGGGCAATATTATCGTGGTGGAGTAGTAGCCCGCGGAGCCCTGTGTTTAGTCGCTTGTTGCTCACAACAGAGAAAACTTCTGCCAAGCATTTGGTAGTATACCATTCAGCGTTAATGCTTCTTTGGTTTCGTAAAGGAATTGACACCAAGTAGCCAGTCAAATTGTAAAAGCTCGCGATCAAAATCTTCTCCCAGCTTCTAGGTCGCTTTACTTTGGTAGGCGTTGGCTTTATCCATTATAAACAAACAATCAAATCTTTCCCATTTATAATTTAAAGTATAAATGAACTTATGTTCGGTGAAACTGCAATATTAGGTACTATGTTACCGCACTCAGAAATTCATTGTAGAAAATTCAAACGAAGAGAGGTTCCTATTCGTTCCAGCTCAACAATACAAGGAGAGGGATGAGATGACCAAACAGAATCTTTTGCTGGAACAATGAGAAGTGGTAATAAAACGAGGAGCGGCCGCCCATTGTGGCCCGCCTGTCTGCGACGTATTCCGATAATTAATTAATAATTAAGGACACCCCATTATTCCCTTTAATTCGAGTCTTTTCTTTAACACGTCCTCTATTGTTCGCTGATGTGTTAGATCAAAATGGGGCTCCGGTTGATGTGATTAACAATCTATTGTTTTTTTTTTATTATAGTTCCAATTGATTGATTGTACATTATTGTACGAGGATTGGTGTCTTTTTTTATACAACTTAGAATGGCAAACAAGCTGACGGCCCACCTGATGGAAAGTGGTAACCGTTGCCTATAGACATGAGCAGTACCGTGGACATAACAGAGTATACTGTTTCGCCCGTGATATCCCCCACCCCATGCGTTGCCATTAGTGTGTATATATATATATATATATATATATATATATATATATATATATATATATATAGCAACTTTTAAAATATTTGTAGTCTTGTATTATTTAATTCTTTAAAATTGTTTAATTCCTTTCATATTGTATAATTATGTTAAAGTAAATGCTGTGAATACCTTTAAGAGGCATGCGCATTATTTTTTTGTTATATATGTTATAATGCAATATGCTGTTGGTGTTCCTTTAAAGAAATAAATAAAAAAAAATGTGAAAGTGAGTTTGTTTGTTTGTTACTTCTTGATGTCCTAACATCTTAATCGATTAATATGAAATTTGGTATACAGGTAAGTACTATATGGCGTTCCATATACGATATAGGACGAAGCCTACTTTTTACCATGTTAAATGAACATATCCCATAGAAGTAATTAAATAAATATATGCCGAGATGTGTTGTATTTAGAACTGTCGTAAATAGGTAAAATTTATAAAAAAAAAATTTGGAAAGAACTCTGTGCAAGCCAATATCTTGTATTCAATCTCTCTAGTTTTGTCTGTCATTTGCGTTTGCTATGTTAAAATATGTTTATTAATAAAATATAAGATTTATTAAAAGTTATGCTCTATTCCTTAATCTAACCATTTCAAAAAGAACATTTATTTC